TTGGTCCAACCTTGGAATGAATTGAAGCTCCGGGACTAGATGAACAAGGTTGGCCAATTGACGGGTGCTCAAATAACTGAGAGGTAAAAATGTAGGACTCGGTTTCTTCTTTCTCGGATAAGGGAACCTTTGAAGCACGAAGGGATTGATTGATCTCCTCCAACTTTGCCATAATCTCGTCTACTTGTGTTGGTGGAGTCCGAGTCCGCTCGGGTGGAAGTCTAGCGTCAAAGTAACCGGGAGGTGGAGGGTAGTAATGAAGCATCTCGTCGTAGACCGGATAGTGATAGTCGTATGCGCCTCGGGGCGTGGAATAAGAATGGCTCGGGCCACAAAAGGAAGTCACCCCTTGTTGATAGTCGGGGTATCCACAGGATGATCTCTCGGCATGATAATATGAATAGGGATCCATCCGAGATACTCAAGCGTAATACCTCGCACAAGAACAAGAAAAACAACCCAAGGCACACGAGGCAAAGAAAAATAACAAAACGAAACTAAAAACACAAAATATTAACAAACGAGACAAAATAAGAGAAACAGAGAGAAACATGAAAAACAAACAAAAATAACAAAAATGAAGCGAAACACGGAAACAAACGACAACTAGATAGTCAACTTGGCGTCCTACTCGCCTTCCCCGGCAACAGCGCCATTTTGTTTGCAATATTTTTGTGAGTGGATAAATTAGTAACCGAGCTATCCGGACTCGGGTCGTTCTCAAAGGAAGACTGTTCGGAGCGTCGTTTACTATCTAGTCGTCAATTTCACAAGACCAAATTCCTAAACATTCTAATCAAAGGATTGTTGGGATTAATTATAAATACGCTAATAAAATAGACAAAGCAAATTGAAATATTATAACTACAAACCTCTAGCCTCCGAACCGGATCACTAAAGATTACTAAAATGAGACCGAACAACCTTAACTTCCGAAAACGAATCGCTAAGGATAAATGAACATTGCGCCTTAATAACTAAGTCAGCAATAACGAGAACATGACGTTAAACACGTTACCTTCGGAATAGCCGAGCTCAAACATGAGTCACGACTTTCCTAATAACGAATTTAACAACACACATTAATAAACACAAAAACACAAACCGAATATCATTAGCCTAAACACTCTAAATTACTTCTACAACGAGATCGCAATCTAGATACAAAATACGGAATATTAAGTCTTTGAACAAAGTCCTTAATTTCCTAATGCACGATTAAGCTAATGAAAATCGGAAACTTACAATCGAATGAATTGCCGGAAATGCCTTCGGGAAACCGATCAACACACGAGCAACATAAAACCAAACTGAGATGCAGAGAATGTCGTAGGGAAGCCAATCAACACACGAGTAATACAGCTTACAAACCAAATTGCCGAAGATATCGTCGAAAAATCGGTCAACACTCGAACAACAAATATTACAAACCAAAATACAACGGAAGGAATAAAATCTTCTCCCCAGCAGTGGAGAAAGAAAGAAAAAAAACGAAGAAGGAAGGTTAACAATAAGAAAGAGTTTTTGTTGCAGAGTACAAAAGAAGAAGAAAACTGTAGAAAAAATAAAAAGAAATTCGAATACTTTCCAATCCAGCAGAGCAATGAATTTATACAGCGGACCGAATCTCTCAAGTGGAGCACAAAAGCCAGACCATATTATGCACTTGGCACGGCGCGA